TTCCTATCTTACAAACTTTACAAAATTCAGATTTATTAACTTTTGATTCCATACATAATGAAGGAAGTTTAGAGACTCAAAACAAGGGTGAACCAAGTCAACAAAATAAATACAGCATTTTAGAAACTATTTCAAAAGCTGAAATTTCAAATTTACAAGTGGTGTCAAATTCTGAAATGATTGAAACTAAGCAAAATGAGACAGTTGCAATGGGTAATAAGGGTGTAGCACACTTTGATCTTGTCTATTCTAGAAAGAAAAAAAATCAAAGAATAGAGCCAAATGATCCTCAAGACTGCCATGAATCCAATGATCCATCTGGTAACAATTTTTCTAATTTTGTCCAACCTGTTCAAACTATAGTTGAATTTGTCCTTGATGATTCTGGCCTTCCTATTGCTATTAGAAAGGGTATTAGATCGTGTACAAAGCATCCTATCTCAAATTTTTATGAAAACTTATCCCCCCATTTCGAGCTTTTACTTCATAAATGAGAAAAACAAAAATTCCAAAAGATATACAGGCTGCTACGAGGGTTCCTAAGTGGAAGGAAGCCGTCTTGGAGGAGATGAAATCTCTAGAGAAGAATCAAACTTGGAAAAAAGTTGACTTGCCCAAAGGAAAGACAATTGTCGAGTGTAAATGGGTGTTTACCATCAAGTATGAGGAAAATGGATCTATTGGGAGATACAAAGCCATGTTAGTTGCTAAAGGTTTTATTTAGACTTGTGGTGTTGATTACTCATAAACCTTTGCTCCTGTTGCGAAGTTAAACACCATCAGAGTTCTTTTTTCATTAGCTGCAAATTTAGATTGGCCATTGCAACAACTAGACATAAAGAATGTCTTTTTAAATGGGGATTTAGAGGAAGAAGTTTATATGGATGCGCCTCCAAGTTTTGAATCACATTTTAATCAAAAAGTATGCAGGCTTCAAAAGCCTCTCTTTGGATTGAAACAGTCACGTAGAACTTGGTTTGAGAAATTTGCCCAGTTTGTTAAGACGCAAAGATTTGTTCCATGCCAAAGTGACCATAAAATGTTTGTAAAACATTCTTCTATAGGAAAAATGGTTGTTTTGATTGTTTATGTGGATGACATTGTGATTATTGGAGATGATTTTAATGAAATAAATAAGTTGAAAGCTTCTTTTGCAGCTGAGTTTGAGATTAAAGACCTTGGATCCTTCAAATAGTTTTTGGGGATGGAGGTAGCAAGATCAAAGAAAGGAATTGTTGTCTCAAATAGAAAGTATATTTTACATCTTAAAGAAATTGGGACGATGGTTTGCAAGCCAACTGAAACTTCTATAGATCCTAATAAAAAACTTTGAAGTGAAGAGAAAGGTGATCCAGTAGATACTTGGTACCAAAGATTAGTGAGAAGATTGATTTATCTATCTCATACATGACCAGACATAGCCCTTTTAAGTTTAGTGAGTCAATTCATGCACTCACCACATGAAGAACACCTTGAGGTAGTCTATAGGATCTTGAGTTATTTAAAAAGTGCTCCAAGAAGAGGGCTATTTTTTAAGAAAATTGGGCAGCAAGGAATGTAAGTGTTCCCTAATGCAGACTGGGTTAGATCCATTATTGAACGAAAGTCAACATTTGGCTATTGTACATTTATTTGGGAAATTTTGGTTACTTGGAGAAGCAAAAAACATAATGTTGTGGCTAGAAGTAGTGCAGAGCCTGAATATAGGGAAATGGCACAACAAGTTTGTGAAATTCTATGGCTTAACAGAAGAATACAGAAGAGTTACAACTTCCTATAACTCTACCCATAAAGTTGTATTGTGACAACAAAGCTGCAATTAGTATTTTCCAAAATCTAATTCAACATGATCGAACCAAGCATGTAGAAATTGACAAGCATTTTATAAAAGAGAATGTGGATGCAGGCCAAATTCGCATGCCATTTGTTCCTTCTTCACAACAAGTGGCAAACATTCTTTCAAAAGGATAGTTTAGACCTAATTTTGAATTCTTTGTCAAGTTAGACATGTTAGACATCTACACACCAACTTGAGGGGGGTGTTAACAGCTGAATATACTTTCATTTAATTGTAAATTTGGGTAGTTAAGATCAAAATCGGGCTTACTCTGATTTGATTGCTTACTCTAATTTGATTTTATTCTCTTTTATTATGCGAGATTTAGTTAGATAGGATCAATATCAGATTATTCAAATCTGATTTGATTCTCTTGTATTTTCTTCTCCAATGCACCTAGTGTTTTTGCCACCCTTAATAGTACTAGATTACTCTCCCTTCTAGTGTAATGATTATTTACTGTCTATTGACATAATACAGTAAGATATTATAAAATCTAATAATATCAATATTGGAAAAAATAACTTATCGCAACAATTTGCCAAGTGAGGTTCCTCTTGACAAATTTTGCGATCCTGTTACTAATATCAATATTATTGGAAAATATAATCTCTTATAGTATTATGTAAATAGACAATAAATAGTCACTACATTTTGCTGGGTTGCACATAGAATAGAAGGGAGAGTAATTTGGTACTATTAAGGGTGGCAAAAACACTAGGTGCATTTTTCTTACCTTTACATTTATTTTGTAATCAGGGTGATTAGGATTGCTTCTAATCATTTCTGTCTATATAATCCCCTCATGTAATTCTGATCAATGAACAAAAATAAAGATCTTTTCTTCTCTAAATTACAATGCATCAACATTTCCCCCAACAACTTTGTAATTTATTGCGTTGTCCGTCACAATGTGAACTACATTTTCTTCCTCAATCTCTTCAACAACACCATCAAGAATCTTACATACTTTGTGCTGTTTTCTTCTCTCTATTTTGGAAACATCAATAGACCTCAAAAATACCGTTCCTTCAAGGCTATTCACCAAGAAATTCAATACTTTCCCCATCTTGTCTATCCACCAATCAATTATTATGGGCACCCAAGTTTCTTTCATTGAGCTTTACGTTCTTGCAAAATCACCATTGTCAAAACTCTATTTCTTCCTTCAAATACCTCACTCTAATCTCGTGATAGGATGGTGGGTAAAATCCTTGGCCATGTTTAACAATTAATTAACACAGAATATGAATTTCTTCACCTCTTGCCACATTGAATGATTGATATGGCATCATTGTAGAAATATCTCACAATTGCTTGACAAGTTTCCCCTCTTACATTCCTCATATACGAGCCATGACTATGGCTTGGGTGAACTCATACCCATTTTACTAAATATTTCCTAACTTCCAACATCAACCACCTCATTGTTTTTTCTTCTTTTTACACTAGTTTCAAGATCCCGTTATAGATTCTACCTGAACTTCACTTTTTGCTTAGTTTTGCTTTCTCACCATAGACAATGTCCCACATTTCCTTGCTCACATCATCAATAACAGCTTTGCAAGGTTCAACTTCCTTATTTGTTTGAAACAAGTGATGCTTCAACTGATAAGCATCTCCTGTTACTACCTTTGAACAACATTTGCATTGAATCTTTCTACTGTCTTCAACTGAAATCCCATGTTTCCATGCCACCTCACTCTTGTCCCCTGGAGCATTCCTTGGCAATTTAAAAGACACTAAATACAGGATTAGCACCAGAGCTAGCAGTGCCAGCATTACTGAGTTTGAACTAACTGCATCACAACTAGCTTTTGAAGCCAATTTTAGTGGAGAAACAGCAGAACAAAGACAGAGGAACAGAGAGACTGAGCCAAACTTAGGCATGTGTGGCAGAATAAACAAGGCAGAGAGAGTGAAAAAGAAGCAGACCAACAAAATGAAGGAGATGAGAGAAGAGATAAGAGGCAGATGTACAAGGCAGAACCACGAAACAGAACAAAGGGGATGAGACATGAGGCAGTGACAGTGATGCACCAAAAAGAACCAGAAGAGAGACGCAACTGAAACAAACCAAAAAGTGAAAAAGCCAAAACTTTTTTGTCTAGGGTTTTTGTGGAACTGGGTAAAAAAGGGCCCATGGAATTTTGGGTTCAGATTAAAAAATGGATCAACAATCAACATGAAATTTATAGGGATCACAAAAACCTACTTAGTTTACTTGGTAATCCCACCAATTAAAAAATAAAATAAAATAAGAGGTTTCCTGAGTTTGGGATTGCCAATGGCAGATTATACAACCAATGACCACACAATTTTACAAGTTAACACAATTTTAAGGTGATAGTGGTCACCTTTTTCCTATAAGAGCTGATATATATTTTCTAGATTGCTAAAACGCTCTTGTTAACATATAAATGACAAACGAATGGAATGAAAACATCAACAAAGCATTTCAAGAAATTTAAGGGTAAGCTAGACTCCTAGAGTATGAGGCTCCCAATAGTGTGGGGTTTGGAGAGGGTCAGATATATTCAACCTTTATCCCACAAGACAAAAAGCTTGTTTCCACAACCAGAACCTGGGCAACTAAGTCACAATGCAGTAAAAACTTACCACTGGGCAAAGGATCAACTTCCATAATTAATTGAAGGACAAAACTTAGGTACAATTCTTTAGGTGCAGTTGGTGTTGTTCTCCAATAAGTGTTGGAGTTTTACATCAACATTATGCACTTGTATTTAATGTAGATCTCATTAATATATATTTACATATACTACCGAAGTAAAACTCAACACTGTTTGGAGAACAACACCAATCGTACCTAAGGAACTACACCTAAGTTTTGTATTTAATTTAATATTAGTCGTTATTGTTCCTAATTATATATTAATATTATATATATCATACAAATACAGTCAGCTTTTAAAAGGAGAATGGCAATTGGCAAGTAACATGTGTGGTTTTATATTTTTACCCACTCAACCTATGAATGATACTATCCCTTAACACACACACACCCCCTCCCCTGCCCAAAACAAAGATTTTAACATCAGCAAATTCTGTTGAGGCTTGCAGTATGTAACCAGTAAAAAGCCCTGATACATAAGGAAAAGATTGGAGTATAGACCATGTGTAGCCAAGACAATTATTAACAAACCTGAAATTGTGGGTAATCTGGAGCACTAAACACAGTAACCAGCTTTCCAGAATCTACAATATGATCAATAGTGTAACCTTCATCCATTCCACCAAAACCATCCCTTTTTTCCCTAGCATCAGGACCTTCATGTGACCTGATGACCAACTGAAAATTAAAAATATAAGTGACAATCCATATATCAGAAATAATCCTAAACACGAGTTACCAAGAAATACAAGAAATTATGTATCATACCGTATATACAAAGAAGCAACATAAGAACATAGAATATTGCAGAACCATGAGACAAAATAGTAGGTAAGCACTCAGAGCATTTAGTCATTATGTAGTTTATTAAACATTAAGGTTCAGAGTAACATGTACATCTGATTGCTCATATAAACAAGCTAAATCAGTAGTTAGACACTAAGTAAAGCTTGAATTGTGAAGCAAATAAGTGAACATGGAGAGCACAATGAAAATCTTAAAAAAATAAGGGCAAAAAGTTATATAAATAACAAATAAAGTGATTATATAAGCATAAAATAATCAACATATACAATAATAATAAAAATCTATTTGACTCACGTTTATGTTTATAAAGTGTACAATTGATGCAAACTATCTACTAATTTAATCTGAAAATTACTGTTCAAAGGTAGTTTCAAATACCAAAGAATGGAATACATGTGAAACACAGACCAAACTTGCTTTCTTTAGTGTTAGTGCTTCAAAGCTTTGATACTTTTCCACCATGATGTACTTGGCTTTAGCAATATGTCAATAACATAACATAATAACATATATAAATATCAACTCAACTTGATAACCTGTTACATACTTACGTGTCCAGTTGGTTTACACTGATTCAAAGAATAACTGATGGAGAGCAAAGGTGCATTATTTTCATGTTCATCAAGATTTTCAGTAGCTGATGCTTAAATTTGTATTGGTTGTGTTAGATATTTTAGCTACTGAAGAGTCATTTTTCTATTGATTTTACAAGTTAACTTGGCCAAGAAAAGTCCAATCTTGCAATTAGGGCGATAGGCAAATAATTATAGAAAGTCCAAAAGTCATCAACTAAGCCACTTAAGGGCCTAGTTAGTTTTAGATACATATCGGATCTATAAAAATAAATATCTTCTATGTAACTTCAACAGAATTAAGAAATCAGTAACTAGTACCAAGTGAAGTATATTCAAAAAGCTATCTTTTGGTGTTCTTTTCCCCTAAGAATTAAATTTCTATTTGTAAACAAGTTAAGATTACAATTCATTCTGATCATATCAGATTTCTCACCAAAGAGGTGGACTCCTACCACAAAAACTCTTCATCCCTCTGTCCTACCTATCCTATTTTTATAATTTCCCTTTCCATCTAATCTAAACCTAAACGAATTCCCTGACTGCATCAAATACACTGCATTAAACTTAGGTTTCAATCAGTATCATTATTGGCTAGTACAGTAAATAAAAGTAAATTATTCAGCCACCGAAGGTCCCAAGTACATATTTAACAACAAACTTACTTTTACTTTTCGGGGTTTTACTCCTTTTATTTCCCCTCTCTTTGAAAGTTATCTGAAATAGTAGCTATCAATATCTAACCACTTGATTTACCATTCCTTTTTCCCTAGATTTTTTTTTATCGTGTGTTCACTTCAATATCATGTTAAGCAAAAGTCTGAAGCTGGTAAAAGAGGATACATGCACTCATGATATCAATGTACAACAAATAATTCTTCTCTCAGAAATATGATATGATAAAATTTCTTATAGATAATAACAACTTAGAAATAATATAACGATTTGAGATAATCCATCAAGACAATCAAATGCATCACTATAAAATTATGAAGTAAACTTATTTTATTACCTTCAGTTGGTACTTCTTCAAAAATTCTTCAGTACAATCAGGACCCCACAACAAGCCAATGCCTCTTTCTTTGTTTGGAGCAAGACCAGGAGTTTTTGATGGATCGGACCACAAAACATCACCAGGAATCAAGTTTGGGCCTTCCCAAGGAGGATCCAGCACTGATCTACGAGCCTTAGACAATTCTTCCAAGGAACCTAGAGATAGAATTTTGCTATCATGGTTAACATTAATCTTCCGGTTCTTCTTTCCTTTAAACCTCTTTGATGGTGTCACAGTTACACTGCGGAAAAGTCCTCCATGAGCTGTGTATACACACCCAGCTATAATAGAAGCCAAAGGAAGACCTTCAAAGCACCCCAAACATTTCCGGTACACATGCTTACCTTTATCACCATACTTTACCATTACTTCTTTCTCAAAACCATAAACTGATGTACAGTATTTTGATTCATGATTCCCTCGTAACATATATATGTTATGTGGCATGAATACCTGACACAGTAATTATCGTGCTATCAATATCATAAAAGTATATAAAAAAAATTACCCCCTTCCTCAATGTTCATAAGGGAATAACCATATTTCGAGCAATTAAATCTTTCAGTCAAACAAAAGCCTTATCCCACCAAATGAGGTCAGCTACACTACTAAGACAAATTAGCATAAAAAATTAAGACAATCAAAGCAGTGGCATACTAGCATCTATCTGTATAAACTGTAAAACAAAGTGTGGCACATGATTTACATAAACTCTGCACATTAACCATTAAAGCTGTTACATTAATACCACAAAATTCAACAAACACAAAAAGCTTTTGAACTGACTCAAGTGTGAATGTTCATGGAAAGCATTAAAAGCAGAGACAACAGAATCCAAAAACTGAAACTTCAATTTCATCGAATGAAAAAATTAAAACTAGAAAATGATTGAAAAGTTTGAAAATTCACCTTACAAGCCATTCTTTTCTAGAAAATAATGAGTTTAATTTTCATGCATCAAGATCTTTACATTGTCAATCAATCTGAAATCATCCTTGGGTTGAGTCTTAAGATTTTCATTATAAAACTCAACAAACTTATTCTGTGATCGAATGAACTTTTACACTGTGAGTGAATTTAAATAATAACAAAACAAATCTAAATCACATTATATACATATTTTAGCAAAAATACATTAGGACTATCATTTTTTAATTATACTTTTGGGTTAACCCGAATTATTTCATGCAGAGACTAATCTCTCGAATTATAGGAAAACAGCATCTACATCTATACAAGTACAAACTGTTCAACAAAGTGTAGCGCATTTGATCAAATAAATTGATGTAGCACAGTAGTATACTAATAGCATACAAATTCAAAACACACAAAATGCTCTCAAACTGAATCAAGTGCGTATAGAGATACTTAACAAAAAACTGTACATGTTTACCTTCCAAGCCAACAAGAGTAAGAAGGTTTCAAGGCCCCAAGCTCCTCGATCCACGTAATCGCCGTTGAAGACGAAGATTCGATCTCGGGAGGGGAACCCGGCATCTCGGAGGAGGAAAAGCAGATCGTGCAATTGGCCGTGAACGTCGCCGACGACGACGACGGAGGCGGCGGAGGAGGAGGAAGAGGAATCGTCGGGGCTAGGGCGGAAGGGGTCTATGGTGACGCAATTGGGCTCCTTGTGGAGAATCTTGGAGGCGATGAGGATGAGAGAGTCGAAGACGTGGACGGGGAGAGCCGAGGGGAACTCCGACGGAGGGAGGTTCCGCGAAGACCAATCGAAGCACGACATCAGGTTCTCTATCCATTCCATGCTCAGGTTCCCGTTCTCCGGCCACCATATTGGGACGCGCAGCTCTGGCGGCGGGGTCGGACGCGATGGCGGAGGAGGAGGTGATGACGGTGGCTGTGGGGTTTCGTCAGCGGTGGTGGAGACGCCGTTGGTTGTTGCGGAATCCGGTGGTTGTGGCTCTGCTGCTGCTGCTGAATCAGCTTGGAGGGTCATGGTAGATGAACGGAGTTGGAGAAGGAATTTAAATTCTTGCTTCACATGCATATATATAATCACCTAATTTGGGGGTTAAAATTTTAGTAATTATATTTTTATTAAACTTCTTAAAAAATTATTAATTTTTTGAACACTAATTATGTAAATCGTAAAGTGTTATAATTATTTTAAATTATTTTAGTGTTATTAAGTTGAGTTGTTTTGTGTTGAAGAATTTTAGAATTCGATAATTTCTAATGAATTTTATTAATGTTAGGAGATTTTTTGAGTAATAGACCAGTTTAACCCTAATAGGAAAAGTGTTTATATTTAGATTAAAGTTTCATAAATTCAAGTTCTCAAAAATATAGAGAGAAAGTTCTGTAAAGAAGGGTTATGGTATGTAAACTTCTCTTTTCTCTAAATCTTCCTTCACTCCCTCCTTAATCTTATTGTGTTATCTTGTTGATGAATTCAGGTGCTTAAAGACTTGAGTCCAATTACTCAATTCGTTTAGGTGTAGCAGTGTGGAGTTTTGGAGTTCTCTTCTTCCATACTTTTTGGATTGATCTTGAGGTAAGAAAAGTTAGATTTATTATGTTTTGGATGAGCTACTAGTTGGTGAATGATTTCTAAGGTGCATGTGGTGTGAAAATTCAAAGATTTGTGATTGTGTTGGTGAATTCAAAGTGAAAAAACATGTGGGAACTTTGGTTTTTGGGTTGTGAATAAAATGTGTTGATTCAATGTGAAAATATTGTTGCATGTTGGTTTTTGAGTTGGTTTTGTATTGCTTGTGTTGAGTAAGATCGTTATTTAGTGTTACATGTGTTGGATATTTGCTGAGTTTCAAGTTTTAGGTCAAAATCAAGTTTTGCACATATAGAATTTTGATATCGCGTTGGGCGTGCCTTCAAGGCATCGAGCATCGTTCCAACATGAAGCTATTTATCTCAATCACGCTGGTTGTAGGATTGGTGGCACTAGAGTAAGTAGAGAAACTCGTCTCAAGTTGGAATGGCACCGAGCATCAGAACATTAGGAGGTCTCTGACTTAGTGAGAGGGGACCCAAGGTTTCCCAATGTGACCAAATCAAAGTTCTTTGTTTGGATGATGTTAGGTGCTGTATGGTGACATTGGCGTGAGTTAGGCAAAGATTCTCTACCTAAAATGAGGTTGGGCGTGGCACTTTGTCACGCTAGGTGCAAGGTTTTAGGGGCCTTTGCTTATTCACGCAGAGTGTGAGTTGTGTAGCGCCAAGTATGGGTGAGGTAGAGAGTTACCTACTTGGTGGTGCTAGGCATTGGGTGTGTGGCACTGAATCTTGATTGTTGAAAGAAAACATATTGTTTGATTTGAAGAATTATTAAATACTTGTTGATTGAGTTGTTTGATGATTAAATGAGGATGAAGAAGTTGCATGGATGTTGTATGTGATGATTGTGTTGTGTGTTGTTAGATTAAAGTTGAAATAAGTTGTAGGTTATGTGGTTGTGTAGCTATATTGAAATTACTATATGCATGAAGTTGTTGTGTTGTTGTGGTGGTGAATGTTGATAATGTTTTAGGCATTTAGGCATGGTTTTTTTGAGTTGTGATGACCAACCTAGGACTAGAGGAAAGGTTCCAAAATTTGCATATCTCATAGTGTGGATATTGTGTTGTGGACTTGTGGTACTTCGATAGCCCAACTTTGTTGAAAACCCTTATTGGGAAGTTGACCCTTGAAGTAGATAGTTATGTTGAATCTCCTCTAGGACTTAGTTGGTATCATGCGTGGGCAAGGTCGAGGCACATGTTTATAAAGTGATCATAGTATATAAGGGTTAGGTCGAGCTATACTATTACAAGTGATCGACCAAGTAAAATACAAAGTTGGAAACTTAATTCCTAGCCAAGTATCCAAATGGTGTAGTATTTGGAGGGTAGTTAGTGGGCTAATCTCATAGAAGGCTTAGTTAAGCTAGCTAATATCATAATAGGTCAATACCCAACTATTCTACCCTAACAGTGGTACTAGACTTTCTTGATTAAATGACAACATTCGAAAAACCAAGTATTTGTATTGTAGATTGATATTGAATTTGTAGCTTATCTAGCAAGTCAAAAAGATCACCATTTGTTGTTGGTTCGGTAAGGTCAAGTCACTTAAACTATTCACCTTATGTTGTAGGAGATATCCTAGTTGAAATGCGTAATGACACATGTAGTTGTTGTGTTGTGTATATGATATGTTGATTTAATTGTGTTGTTCATATGCATTGTTGATTTTAGATAAAGTATGTTGATTTTATTTGAAAACTGAGTTGTTAATGTGGTGTTTAAGTTGACATTATATTGTAGCAAATGTTGTAAAGTTGGTAGAGTTGAATGTGTTGAAATGCTGATGTTGAAAAATATGAGTTATGTTGTAAAATCTTGTTGTATATGTTGATACTTTAAACCCTAGCTTACCCTTGCGTGTTTCTATGTAGATGAACTATGGTAATCATACTTGATATGGGAGAAGAGCAAGGATAGTTTGAGATGCATTACAATGGAGACCATATGGATGATGATGGAGTGAAGAGATTTTGGTACTACTACTATGTAGTACTATGTATAGGAGTTGCATGACTAGTAACTTAGGTTATAAAGTTTACTTTTATCGCATTGTTGTACTTATATTGCACATATTATGTAGTTGCTTTATCTTTATATGCAAGCAATATAGTACATATTCTCACATCTATAAGTATATAACTCTAAGTCAGGAGTTGTTTAGTTACAGGTAGTTATACCGTTTAGTGTAGGGATCATAGCAAGTCGTGCACTAATTCCTTTTTTTTTTACATCTTAATTATATTTTATTTTTAATTAAATTTGTTTATAATTGATTTTTTAATGTAGTTTTAAAGTCTCCTCAAATATCATTATTGAATATGTTAGTGATCGAGGCCGTACCCGGTCAAATAAAAAAACAATTAATGTAGTACTAGGAAGTGACTCCTAGGTCGTCTCCCAAGGACCAATTGTCTCAGTCAAAGGTTCCAACACACAGTGGGGGGGGGGTTGGTTCAGATTATCGAGTTAAATAAAACGAGCAGAAGTATGGATTACTTGCAGTAATTAAAATAGGTCAGACCCCTGAACATAATGCACCTCTGATTTCCTTGGTTCACAACAAATAATCTGTCCAACATAATCCTGTTCAGTCCATGATTAATCAACTAAGCGAAGACTAACATGAGACCTCACTACACGAATTAAGCAAACGTGAACCTTGCAAGACCTCCTTCCCCAGGATTAAGCAACAAATGAAGCAAACGTGAACCTTGCAAGACCTCCTTCCCCAGGAT